CATAATGATGTCACCTATACCTCCCGACATAATGATGTCACCTATACCTCCCGGCATAATGATGTCACCTATACCTCCCGGCATAATGATGTCACCTGTACCTCCCGACATAATGATGTCACCTATACCTCCCGACATAATGATGTCACCTATACCTCCCGACATAATGATGTCACCTATACCTCCCGGCATAATGATGTCACCTATACCTCCCGGCATAATGATGTCACCTATACCTCCCGGCATAATGATGTCACCTGTACCTCCCGGCATAATGATGTCACCTATACCTCCCGGCATAATGATGTCACCTATACCTCCCGGCATAATGATGTCACCTGTACCTCCCGACATAATGATGTCACCTATACCTCCCGGCATAATGATGTCACCTATACCTCCCGGCATAATGATGTCACCTATACCTCCCGGAAGCAGTGGAGTCCAAGTTAAGTTTGGGGAGCTGGTATAAAAGTTGACTTTGCCATGGAAGGTTCCCTTTAACTCTCTGCCTATTGATACGTCTTATAGCTCCTGTGTAATGTCACCCCGCCATGTTGCCTGCCAGTGACATTGCTGCATGAACTCTGTCTGCCGGTAATCCGGCCAGCATCAGATACACACAGAGATCAGGATAATCCTTTGCACCGAGGCGGTGAATCAGCCGCAGCTGATGGTGAATCAGCGTAAAGAGATTCCCGCCTTCCTTCTAACATTTACCCAACAAACTTCCAGCTCTGATCTCTTTATTTACCCATCAACATGGCGGATAACATTCCATCCGAGTGTATCTAAAACGCTCCGGGGGGAGATCTGATTACTCAGCGGCCCCATGGGGCCCGTCCTTCCCCGGGCCGGTACACTGGGATCAGTCAAGGAAAGACACAACTGGGTCATGTTTTTATCTTCAACTTAGAAAAACGTTGTTGACACTTGTACCTGCGTGGTCTGCCGGGCGTGCTTTAGTTTGCTGTAAATTCGTCCAAGTGGCAATAAAGTTTTTCAAAGTTGAAGAAAAAGTGTGTGACGGAGGTGCGTCTTTCTTTGCTTGAATACAATGTATCTAAAACATTATTGGATGGAGTGTGGATGGGATGTAACCCTCATCAGGTTCCCATTGCTGTCTTTGCCCTGACTAGGGAGACTCGCCCTCTCTATTAGTCCTGGCGGCCATTGCATCCTGGACAGGAAGTGACGGGGAATCAAAAACTTGACAGTTGTCACTGGAACAGAGAGTGATGAGAAAGCTTCTAATGGTGACAACTGTATGGACAGGGATTCCTTCTCTCACATCCTGTTGTGTCTCTGGTACAGGAAGTGAGGGGAAATCTCTCCAAAGGGGCACAGACGGCAAACAAGCCGAGGGTTTAACCCATTCCCTAATCTACCCGAAATTTAAGAACTTAAGCCAATTTTTAAGATGTTTATTTAGGGTTACAGACCGAGTATTGTGTGTTTGCTGGCGCACTGATTCATACTTCAGAGGGTCTCCAGTGAGGATAAGGCGCATACGCTAATTCCCAGTTCCAGCGGATGGTGTC